CTAGAGAAGAGACAGTTAAGAGGTGATATGATAGCCCTGTTTAAATATCCCTGTTTAAATATTTGAAGGGTTCTCATATTGAAGATGGAGGAAGCTTGTTTTCTGCTGCTCCAGAGAATAGGACCTGGAACAATGGATGCAAGCTGCAGGAAAAGAGATTCCACCTCAACATTAGGAAGAACTTCCTGACAGTGAGAGCTGTTTGACAGTGGAACACACTCCCTTGGAGGATAGTGGAGTCTCCTTCTTTGGAGGTCTTTAAACAGAGGCTGGATGGCCATCTGTTGGGGATGCTTTGATTGGAAGTGCCTGCATGACAGGGATTGGATTGGATGGCCCTTGTGGTCTCTTCCAACTCTAGGATTCTATATGATTCTATACATCTCCTCTGGGGAGTGGCAATTCACTTTTTTAAATAGGCTGCACATCTTTCCTGAGAGCCAGCATGGCATAGTGTTTAGTATTGGACTATGGCTCTGGAGACCAGGGTTCGATTCCCAATTCGGCCATGAAACCCATTGGGTGACCTTGGACAAGTCACATTCTGTCAGCCTCAAAGGGAGGCAATGGCAAACCTCCTCTGAGCAAATCTCACCAAGAAAATCCCATGGTAGGTTTGCTTTAGTGTTGCCATAAGTAGGAAATGATTTGAAGATACACAACAAGAACAACAACAACGGGTTTCCTTGTGTTGGATTTTAAAAACGATCACTTTTATTCTTTTTATTCAGTAGTCTGTGTGGTCCCTGGGGGACACACAGCAGAAATGTGGCCCCTAAAACCACAAATATTGCCCACTCCTGCTCCATATCCAGAGGCAGTCTACCTTAAAGAATAAGAACCAATGACAGAGCATTCACAAATGTAATAAAATAGCCCAGACTTTGGAAAAGTTGCTTTTTTGGACTACAGCTTCCAGAATTCCCCAGTGACTGGGGGATTCTGGAAGATGTAGTCCAAAGAACCCAATGTTTCCAAGTTCTGGCAAACACATCAAGGGAAGACCCAAACCATGTGTGACAGACACATATAAATGGAAGACACCATAACAAACGCAGAAGAACAAGCCAGAATCTTCCAAATTACACAAAGTTGCGTCCTAATGCACACAACTCCTCTTCTGCAATGCTCTCACACAACAGAGCCAGGTTGGCTGAGCAAGAGGGGGAATCTAGGAACTATAATCCAGAAAAGTAACTTGCTCAAGTTCCGGGGTCAGACAAAATTTTCTACCCAATCCCGCAGATGGCAAAAGATCAAGAAAACCCGAAACACCTTGTCAATAATCCAGTGGCAGGTATTTGCAGCTATACTGCCCCTGAACAGAGAGGTTACATTTTGCTCTTGGGTTTGTTAAATCACTGACAAAGACTACAAGATGCACCATGAATTAGTCCAACTCTTCTAAAAAAGAAGAAGCCACTGTTTCAAGTTCAGGGCCATTGCAATTTTGCAAAGCAATATATGCGTTGTGCGAACTCACATTGTGATTCTTCCCTGATCAGTTTCCCCCAAATTATGGAGAGCTCTATGCAGCGCCAAAAGGAGTGCCAGGGCATGGAGAAAAAGAAGAAGCATCCATAGCCTTGCAGTCAGCTAGAGCAAGCAAAGAGGTCCAGGATGTAAAAAGAAACTCACACAGTCACAACAACACAAGCAAGACTCGGGTCTCACACTGCAACACACCAAATCTCACACTCTTCTTTCCTTGATGAAAGGAAAACATCAAATGTGAAAAGCCTGACAGAGGGGTCCCAAAGGTGGATCCATAGCTGACATATCATGGCACAAAATGATGTGCCGCTTTGGTTTTCATAACCAGGAAGGGAGACAACCTGCAAGAGCACACACACAGAGACACACACACACAACCTTGAAGGGAAAAGGACCACAAAGCAGAGATGCACATAATATGCACATGCCAAAGGGGGACATCTCACGAGTGCCAGGGCAGGTGTTCCAAGAGGAGACGCAAGACCTGGTTGCATGCGCCATGTGCAAGACCACACAGACAATGGCATGACACAATGAAAGTGTGAGGCTGAGTGGGGCACAAGGTGTGCCGACACTGGGTCAAAGATGTGCCAAGGATGTGCCAAAGGAAGGCCGGTCCACACACGGAGAAGCAGGGGTCCCCACAGGGATGTGCAAAGGATGTCGGAGGTGTGCACACTCCCAGTTACAACAACACAAAGGCAATCCAGCTGATGGTGTGGCACTGTCCTGTGCCAAGCTGTAGACAGAACAGACACTTGGCCCTGCAAAGGGGATCCAGGATGCATCCGTACTACAGAACTAACCCAGTTTGACACCACTTGAACTGCCATGGCTCAAGGCTATGGCATTCTGGG